TCATCACCTTAATAATAATAGCCCTGTCGATAAGGATGAGACCTTTGCCTTAGTTTGTAAAATCCAAGATTTCGGTGAATTTTTTGCTGCATACGCACTTGATTTGAACCAAAGGACTTGCGACTTACATCACCCAAAAGAGCATTCAACTTCCTGTTCGCATTCGCACTGGCAAACCGATTCACAACTGCAGTTTGTTCCAACACCTCACCACCTTCCAAATCCATCGGTGTAGGATCTACACCTTCACCGTTTTCTTCCTCCTTATTTTCATCATAAACAGCGGCACCTTCACCATCCACATCCTCATTCTGTTCAGTCGCATCGAGAAGGGATTTCGTACAGGCGAGCTTCCGTGGTCGACCTTTCGCTGCTCGAGATGGTCTTTTTTTACTAATAAGTTGGGAAAAAAGGCCCAAAATACACCACTTTCTCATCGGCTGAAGGAAAGCAAATCAAAAAGGAGAACCTACCATTTGTTCACAGCTGATTTCTTCCATCCAGAAGGCATGAAAATGGGGAACCGCTTGACGCTAACCGGATGACCAGCTGTAGCGCTCACGAATGTGGGATCAAATGTCATAGTATCAAGAGCCTCATAAATTGGACGCGGCACCTCTGCCGCTGACCCAGACAAAGTCGCGCTCTTGGCTCTGCGAAACAGCACTGAGTGCAAGCAGCGCCGCAGACTGGCGATTTGGATAAGGCGACAAATTAGGGTAGAGGTAAGAGTATGACTCGGTAAACCACAGTGATGTAAGTGTGCAGAGGACGATAGAACTATCTCCTCAGCGAAGGTGTTCACTGCTTCGATGCAATAGTTGATAATGATGACAAGAATAGAAGGTGGGAGCTCGTTCAATGAAACAGTCGGAAGAAGGAATGGACAACCCAAAAGCGCGTTCAAAGCTACAAAAAAAGGCAAAATAGGTGTGAATCAAGTCTGTGGATCTACAAAAGCTACAACTACGACTCGAAAGTAGAACTGATCAGATAGACCCAAGACTACCACACCCGTATCACTATTAATAGCAATCGTAGTGTCTGATATCGACATGTATTCAATAAAGATCGACTCTCCAATAACTGCAGTTAGCAATGATCATCAGCTAGGGTACAGACAGCTTTGTGCTACATTCAGTGCAGGAATGTGACAGTTAAAGGAAACCATACACCGGTTTGGCCTAGAAGACACTTCTATTGGGGTGCAAATCAGAAAGCAATGATGCCCTCAGGTACTGTTTATTTTATTGAAAGTTGCTCACTTTACTGGTTGGACTAAACAACCAGAAAAATTGAACAATTCAAGGAATCTACCATCCAAAGACCGATTCGATTTGAACGTCTCCACAACTGAGAGTAGTCGAAGGTGTGCGGGCACGAGAGCCGGAGAGGCCGGAGCTGATCGGTCAAACTGAGCGTTAGCAGCAGAGGGCTTGCGAACAATGCGTTCACATGCCATTGAGGAAAGCGGTGGTTGAGCAGCCAGCGCCACGGCAGCTTCGGTGTGACGAGCGAATGTCGGTCCCAGATTGAGTGCGATCTCGCAAATCTCAGCATCGCTTAGACCCAGCTGTACAGTGAAGTCACTACTACCAGCGTTGTCTACAACAAATTCTTCCTGAAACAAACGAAAAGTCACCCCTTCCTCGCTACTGCAGAGTAATCAATACTCGGCGATTCCATAATAAACCCGAGCATGGAACGGTGATGTTAGCGCGCCCTGAAACGCCTTTAGGATTGCCAATGCTCAACGACTTCAGTTTCACTTCACAGCAGCGACATATCAGAAGTTGGCGGCATTTGTGGCTGGTTCGGAGAAACTTAACGCTATCGAACTGTGCATAAACCTTTGGTTTGCTCATTAGTGTTTCATTACGGTAACAAAAAGTGTCATCATACCCAGCAGCGAAGTTAGTTTACCTATGATAATGAGCTTTACGTTGGTGTAATAAGCTCTTAAGTTATAAGTACTCCACACAAGATTTACCCATATAAATTATTTAAGGCAAGCATATAAGGCTAAGCGCTTGATTTCGAAGTATGAGATCTTAATCTCGCATGACCCACAGTAAATCTTCACCTACTTAGTTTGCGCTAGTAGCATAGCAAACGTACCTGAAACTCCCGCATTGCACGACTGCCCATCCAATCGATGAAACGTTTCGCTTCACTACCAAGGGGTAATGAAGAATATCGGCAATTCACCTCCAGTCTGGCGAACATTGCTGCAATTTCATCGTACCAAAAGACCTTCAGTTGGGAAAAGAGGAGAGAACTGCGTTTTAGAGCATTCTCAACCAATCCTACAAGTTGAAGTAGAAGGCGCGAAGGTTGGGGAAGGAAAGCCAGAGCACTAGATGTACTCTTAGGATCACTGTCCATGTCGACTGAATCTAGGGGTAGGTTAATCTCCTGGGAATCGTCGGCCAAACTCGTGCCCGGACCCTTAAGACTGAGATGGCTGCGATTAGATCGAGAGGTGGTGCTCTGCGACGCAATGGTTTGGGAGGCCAAAGGCATCACGACTTGGCTGGCGAGAACGCTGCTTTGGGAGCACTGAAATGGCAATGAGTATGAAATTAGGAGGCGCCAGTGAATCGACGGTTTCAGGTATCCGAATCTTCCCTGATATCACCATTGTAACGTTAAAAATCGATAAAAAAGGAACAACTCACAACGAAGAACATAATTTTTAAAAATTACCCCCAGTAGAAACACATATGCGATAGGCGAAGCTGCCAATTTTCAACTTACTTCCATAATCCCCGCTTGTGAACACGGTGTGCTATTCACAGGTCCAGGGGATTTCGACCTTTTCTGTCGCTTACAGAGCGCTTCAAGGACAATCACAGCTCCAATTAGACCAATAGCTCTCAATTTGCTTGAACAATTCAACAGAAGCCGACGGATACTAATGAGTAAGTCGTCCTGCAGGTACGTCTCCCCCGTTCCTCTGGAGAAAAAAATTAATTTCCGCTAAAAACGAACTTCATACCCAAAGGCTATTTTAGCAAGTATTGCAAAAAGTTTGCGAATATCAACGAGGTCAGGAGACGATTTTTCAACCCCCTTTGAGACCTCCTCGAGGAGACCAAGCAACAAGTCGGAGAACGGTGACATCTTTTCAGCAAACTTGGTAGATAGTTGAAGTAGAATACTGATGGTGAGTTTATTGATTTTGACAACCCGTTTCTTCTCAAATATGCTAGCATTTGGAGCCAATGAGTTAATGTTCTTGCAAAGATCAGTTATAACCCGTTTCGGCAGCTCGGCACCAGGTAACGAGCAATGGAAAACAGAAGCATATATAACGTAAACAAATCTTGGGATTATGGGAGATTGGCACGTCATCAACAACTGGTTCGTAAGGGTGAGTAACGGACAGTAGAGTTGCTTGTGCTGAAATATCGCAGAGTATTTGGAAAAAGATTCAAAAGTTTCGCGTTCACTGATTCTTTCAACAACGCAATTAAATGTCTTGAGGAGAAGAAGATATTCTTTCCCGTTTTTGGTGAAAATATTATCGAATTTGCCTCCCAAAACTATCTCAGAATCGTAGACTAGCAGGAGAATGAGAAGATCGTCGATTGAAAGGCCAGAGTTCACACCGCCCTTGGAGTAACCACGATAGAGATAAGAAAGCCATCTAACACGAATAAGGGCTTTGAGACCACAAAGTTTAACTTACTCAAATTTCATCTGACTATTGGACCGAAAGACAAGAGAAAGTGTGTCAAGAAATAAGGGAATTTCTTCGTCCGACTCAACCATTATCTCCGACAGTCGCATTTTACTGCGCAAAAGCGAGATAAAATCACAAACCTCTTCCGAGGAAAAGGATTTTTTCAACTCACTTGCAAACAAACTGCGAACGACATTAGCCATGCATTTGTGAGTAAACTGGGTTTCAGCTGAACCAATGATTACGTCCTTGCAGGCGGTTTTTAGGCGAGTTAGAGAAGGGCCTTCTAGAGGGAAGCGATTGGCGCATTCAATTATTTCTGTGACCAAAATGTGATTCGGTTGACCTCCACTTGTTAAAAGGAAAGCAGAATCCAGAAGTTCAATAATCTTTTGGATGGTGTTCGTAACAATTCCAGAATTCGAATCGTCTTGAGAGTTTCCAACAGGTGATGCTAAGAGCTCCGGCAAAACTTGCAAAATGTAACTTTTTATTGGTTGTTCATCAACTGATTTTATTAACTCAATGAGTCTACCAAGAACTTCTTCAAGATTGGCAAACGTTGGAAAGAAAGCACTAATTCCAACAGGTCGGAGGAACTGTGATATAAGTTGAAGAGAGTAACTCGATCCACGTGAAACATTCTCCAAAATGATATCAATCAACTGTGGCTGAAGACAGGGAATCGATAAGAAAAGTTGAAAAGCCGACGCAGGAGATCCAAACAAAATCAG